CAACGTGTACAACCATTGGAGATGTGAGCAGGACAGACGGAACAATTGACGGAAAAAGTGTGGACTTTATACCAGTTTTTAAATTGTGTTGATAGGCCACGTAAAACCAGAGTTATGATAAAAAATATGCAATGTTTGATTTTCTTCCTGAATACTGTCGTTGTTTATATTTACTGCGGGAAGAAACGGTAAAAACGGCATAAGGAAAACGCTCGAAAGCGCTCTCCGCCTGTGAGGAAACACAAAACCAAACAACTCCACCCTTTGCCATTGGTGGAAAAATGTACCATGTCGACCAATCAAAAAATGATATGGCAACGTGGCATCTTGTTGTTAAGAAACGGGGGGAAGTTTTAGGAGTGACGACGGTGCTTTGAGATGTGAGAGATTTGCGACGTAAACAGCTGCAAAAAACTTTGTTGTTTGCATAACTCAGTTACTTTTTTGAAGAAGTAACTATATAATTAATTGCCCAACATTGGTCATTATATACTGTATTTTGCAGACAGAGAGTTACAGGACTCTCTCCCAGACCACAGACTCATAGTCATAATACAAGTCAGAGCTTTATAAAAAAGAAAGAAATAAAGTTGTGTTTTCAAATTGGAGTTCAAGTTATTTTTACTTCCAATAGTGTTAACAAACTACACAGGTCATGAACAAGTGTTTTTTAATTTTCATTGTAAGTGGGCTAAAGCAGTTAATTAAAAGTAGTCTAACATAAATGTAAATGCTGTCATTTGATTATTTTAATAAACCATGTAACTTAGATGGATTAGATGCCGGCGTGACCACAGTGCACACGTCTGATGTCGCTCACAGTGGTCCAAGGGATCGCTCAGGGAGTTTGTGTGTTCGCTCAGACACGTGAAACATTAGAGAGAACATTGGACACCGCACCGAATTTTTAACATGTGGAAATGAGGCTATAGGAAGCAATACTACTAATGTTGCTATCCGTTGTTTTGAAGTGAGAGAACTCGATATCTGAAGCACACTGACTACCGTCAGATGCCTTTAAAAAAGAAAAGTCATTTATAAGACCTGTTAGTGTTGTTCTTTTTTGTTGTGAAGTTAAGCACGAAGGTAGTGATAACATGTGGCATAAACTGAAATGTATATTAACACATCCAACATAGCAGCTACCTTTGAGATCTAAAATGTCATTATCAGAAAAGAGATTTTTTTAGTGCATTTACAACATCTTACACACAATATATTAAAGCCATCTAACCTCTAGAGGAGAGTCTGGTTCATCCAGGATGCTCTTTTCACTCTGTATCCGCTGCATCGTTCCTGTAGAACTGGGGTCCATTATCAGCACGTTCTGACTACCAGCTCTGCCGAACTTACAGTCACTCTTTCTGGAGTCAGTCGTCCTGCACACCTCGTAATTGTAAACATGTGGCAGAGTCC